TTTACATTATTGAGACATATGACAAATTCTCTGTTGGCCTCAAGGACCTCAGAATTAAAATGGAGAAGGCAGCTATGTTGGAAGGGGTTGTAATATAAGAAAATACTGTTAAATTTTATTAGCTGGCTTTATTAAAATTACAGCCTTTGAATTTTAAAGACAGACTGAAGTCTGAGACAGTAAACGCTTCCCTCGGAATCTGCTTGGCACTTAGTCTAAGTCTTCTTAGGTTCCAGCCACATTTCAGCTTGCATGTTGGCAAATTGCAGGTATCATCCACAACTTTGGCAAATTGTACATATTTGTTACCATACTCTGCACTAAGTTTAAGGGAAGAATGTATTCTATTCACTTCCATTTAATTTGGGAGCTTCCTCCTCTGTACCTTGATGAATAACCATTGTTCTTCGCACATTTGAATGTGAATGAGCAAAGCAACCACATGATGGCAGCATGTTAAAAGAATAAAGAATTGTTCACGTGCAGCCATCCTTTTAATTTTTAAAAATCTATATGAACAAAGAGGGAAACTGCAGATCTACCTACCTAGAGAGCCCCTTTTCTAGTTGATTCTCACAGACGCAGGAGTAAAAGGTAAGTGACGGGTTTGAGATCTCAAAAACAAGGAGTGAGAGGACAGAGAGCTGAGCTCTGAGATTGTAAGTGGGACCAGACAATCAGGTTGTGACTCATCCTTCAAGCTGAATGCCTTCTGTTAACAAGTGAGTCAATTATTTGGCGAATTGTTCAAAGGAGAATGATAACTTAGGATGTGACTACTTTTAATGTCTAGGAGCTATACAAGATGTTTTTGGGTATTCTGCTGATTGAATTTTAAAACCCTGTCAGTTATATGCACGTATGTGTTATGTATTTTTTAACAAATCACCAAAACATTGCAATGATGAAGGTGAACAACCTCCCTGCCTTGTCATCTGTGACTAAGGAGTTTTATTTCATTTGCATACAAATTAATCAACATTTGTTGAAAACCCCCAACTGCACGGTAATTGCTTTGGTAGGAAAGAGAGAGGTTCTACTGCTGGAAGAAATCTAAGTGTGATTAACTCAGGGCCCCGGATTTCTTGCCTCTGTTTTCTTCTACATTTGGCTTCTTTTTCACCTACTCTTTCTTTTGTGATGGTGAACATGACTCTAGGGCAGCGGTTCTCAGCCTGTCACAGGGGTCTCCTAAGACCATCAGAAAACACATATATAATTACACATTGTTTTTGTGATTAATCGCTATGTTTTAATTATGTTCAATTTGTAACAGTGAAATTGGGGGTCACCACAACATGAGGAACTGTATTAAAGGGTCGTGGCATTAGGAAGGTTGAGAACCACTGCTCTAGGGTATATTTAACGGAAGGCTTTGCTACTTCAGGAAGAAGAGATTTCTCTTTCCCAATGGTTTCAGCAAAACTTCTGGGGCTGGCTCCCATTGGCTGGTCTTGAATCACTTACAAATTCCTGAACTGATCACAGTGGCAAGGAGGAATGAAGCACCCAGATTTGTTAGGCCCGTCACAGGCAGGTGGCTGGACCCAAACTCAAGCCACTTTCCTCCCCACCAGCAACGTGGACTGAACATGCAAGAACAGAGATTTCCCAAAGGAAAATCAGGATTCTGTTACCAAACTAAA